AAAGTTTTCCCTTGCTATATAGTCGTGGCACCCTTGCCCTTTGCTTGGCCCGACGTCCTCTTGCCTCCAATGTGTTTTAGCCATGCTTTTAGGCGCCGCTCTTTCCGACTCGTCGGATGTCGGGAAAGGAGTATGGAGTGGGCTATACTATCTTTCGCTGCCCGATCACTTAGGCGGGACGTTGGTTAGCTCGGTCGTGACGGTCATATTTTGACCAATACAATATTTTTCTCTGGAGTCTTTGTAACACACTCCAAATACTACAAACGATTAACAGAGTTTTTATTGCAAAGTGAGAGCAATATTACAATAGAACTTATGAAGAAGTAGAAATGCATAAGAAGAATAAGAAGGGGATGGGAAACATACTTTGATAGAGGAAACGGGGATGAGAGAAAAACAGACTGACACTGAATACAAAATAGCCTACTCGTTCCACTACTATTCTGCTACTAATAATAAAGACATTCTCTTGGCTACCATTAGTCTCTTGACACCTGTCCCTCCAGATTCTACACAAAGTCCTTCAGCAAAGTATTGGGCTGTTTGATTCGCAGACTCTTTCTCAGTTTTATCTCAGGCCCAATGTTTTCATCCAGTGCATTAGCTTGCCCAAACTTAGGCCCAACATCTACTTGCTTGCTCACAACAGTCTTTCAAGAACCAGTGATTTGGAAGGAAGGCTCGAGGATGTACAGAGTTGCTTTTTCCTTTTCCTCTCCTAAACTAATATGATGAAGAAAATCGAGTCCTCATAGCTGTGTGATTACAACATCTTAAGGATAACTGCAGTTCTATGATGGGGCTGTTGTTGCGTATGGTGGTGTGGAAGTGATTATGGTACTAATAATGCCATAGTAATTACATACGTAGTTTTACTTGTTTTTGCATGTTTGTCACTTTTTTGATGTCTCATAGAAGTCGTTTGGATCTCCTTTAAGGATTCCATTTTCAATTTTGAATAATGTCTTTACACGGTATGAGAAATTAGTGCACTTTTTCCAGTACGATATAAACTTCCATTTTATTGTCAAATTAAGGCTTACAGGATGATTTGTCTTTCATTTTAATATGCTAGAGAACTGTAAATCCCAAATAGGAGTAATAAACTATGGAACTAGCTAGAACTTCATTTGCAACATGCTTTTAGCTTAATCAGCAACAATTTGGCAACTATAGTTGTGGATAAAGATTTGAGTTCCGCCATAAAATCTTTTATATGGATCAGAAAAGTTAAAAAATAAAGAGGAAAGAGGATTAGGTTGGCCATTTTGATGGTTTTTTTTCCGACTGTCACGCCCTCTCAAGTGAGTGTTTAAGTAAGAAACTGACAAAAACGTAATAGTTTAAGAGAGTTTTAAGATATTAACTCTTTTTAAATGATTAGATGACAAAATATTCAAGACTCGTGTTTAGTCGTGCCTGCCTTGCAGAATCGTCAAGGGTCGTCCCTCCCTTGACTCTTTAACAAGTCGTCTAAGGAATATGAACCGTGCCCCCTTAGGCACGATTGACCCTGAATATTTACATTTTATGTAACTTTTCTATAGTGTATAGTCATTATAAATTATTAAATCAAAGTAATTTGCAGCAACATGTAACAGTTTATAATAAATTTATTTTGGTATTTTAGAAAAAGTAAAACAATAACCAGCTTCATAAAAAATTCAGGACATATTTTTCTTTTGGGAAGTAAAATTTGTATTATCAATGGAAAAATATGTACAATCAAAACAAAAAAACCCCTATAATAACCTTCAGTGAACTGCTAAGCTACTATTCTCCTATGCCCTCCTATCCATAAATAAGACAATGATATTGCTTAGGATAAAAGTTAATTTTCTGCAACTGTCCAGCAATCTTCTTCTTGCATCCCCTCGATAATGAACATCTTGGACTCTTAGCTTATTTAGAGTCACAATACTTCTCAGCTTTCCTTGAAATAATTTTTGATTTCTTTCTTGCCAGACACATTACACACTGTTAGTAAACTGTATTTGTAAACTAATTCTGGAAAAGATAGAATAACATATAAACAGAAAATGTAAATGAAACAAAAGTCAATTCGAACCCATTGAATTCACAGTGTTTCTTTAAGGAATTTAATCCCCTCCTAATACCCAAGGTTATGGATTATTTTCTCCCAGGACAGAACGAATTACATACTAGTGTAGTGGTACTTCAAACCCCAGTGTTTCAGCGAACACAAAGTTCGGTAGCAAATCACACTTACTGTTGCTTTCTTTGAAGTTAAAACAATGCATAAAAAGGAGGAGAACTCAGAAAAGCGTATGGAAATTCTGAGAGAATGGACTTGTATTTATAGCCAATGTTGGGCTGAAATCTGAAGAGGTGCAACTCTTCAGAATGGCTGTTTATGCGAAACGGCCATAGCATAAATGCCATAACATAAATGGCTAATTATGCAAGAATAAATCGGGAATTGAAGAGGGAGGTTAATTTTCAGTTACACAACTGAAAAACTAAAAATGGATAACGGAAAAATATTTAATATTCCGTTGGATTTAATATTAATATTAATATTCTGTTATTAAAACGGATATTTAATAACATTTATGTTAATATTTACTATTGACAAATAAATTTGGTCCAAAAAATTAATCAATCAATCGATCATTTGACCGAAGCCGAGCCGTGCGACGACGACGACGGCGCGAGGCTTTCCTTCTTCTCAACTCTTTAAGAGCTAGAAGAAGAGCAATTACTTATATACCCATCAAAAACCTCTTCCTCTTCCAATATGGGACAATGTCTCTTTGTCGGGGGAGGGGGGGGGGCTTAAAATTTCTCTTAAAAATTTTATTTCCCTCCATTTCCCATTCACCCTCTTTTAAGGCATATTAATGCTTAAAAACCCAACAATCGCCCATATGAATGGGGAATGGCTATATCACAGAAATATGTATGAAAAATTGTGTGATTTGCAAGCAAGGATTAATTGCATCTGGATAAGTAGGTTTCCTTTTGAACTTTCCGTAGTGAACTTATGTCGCATACTTGGTCAATGGATAGATTTGATATCTTTGAACCGTCGAACTTTGGTGTATACCTAAGTCACACAACCAACCCTTAACCGCCTTTGGTTCTCATTGTTGTGTTCGTTTCAGCCATGAACACCTCCTGGTTTCATAAGTGCGTAGAGAACTAACCTTACAAAATTCTCCTTGAAGCGGCTAACACTTTACACATACATAGGTGATTCCTAAACGTGTCATCCCGTAGATACACTATTTGATATATCCCAAACCAAATTTAGAAATCATTAAAAAGCCTTAATGCTTTATCCTTGGTACTGAACATTGTCTCATCACGAGAATGGACCAAAATTTTAGTTGACAATGTTGAACCGTCATTAATGAATTTGTTTGATCTCCTTGAACCTAGATCTTGGGATCTTTAGTCTTCTAGGTAGAGTTACCGCCACAATGACTTGTTCTCGGCCATAGTCTCATTCCCCTTGATAATTTCTCAACTACCTCTCTAGTTAGGCCTTTTGTAAGTGGTTCCACCACATTATCACTTGACTTTACATAATCAATCGTGATAATTCCTCTTGAGAGTAATTGCCTAACAGTTTTATGTCTTCGTCGTATATGACGAGATTTACAGTTATACATAACGCTCTCAGCCCTTCCAATTGCCGCTTGACTTTCACAATGTATGCATATTAGTGCCAACGGTTTGGGCCAAAATTGAATGTCTTCCAAGAAATTCCAGAGCCATTCAACTTTTTCACCGGCTTTATCTAAGGCTATGAATTCAGCCTCCATTGTAGAGAAGACAATACAAGTTTGTTTGAACGACTTCTAAGATATCGTTCCTCCACTAATAGTGAATACATATCCACTTGTGGACTTCGAATCAGCTGAACCGGTGATCCAATTTGCATCATAGTAAAAACGTTTAATATTCCATTGGATTTAATATTTATATTCTGTTATTAAAATGGATATTTAATAACATTTCTGTTAATATTTACTATTAACAAATAAATTTGGTCCAAAAAATTAATCAATCAATCATTTGACCGAAGCTGAAGCCGAGCGAGCGACGATGACGGCGTGAGGCTTGCATTCTTCTCAACTCTTTAAGAGCTAGAAGAAGAGCAATTGCTTATATACCCATCAAAAACCTCTTCCTCTTCCAATATGGGACAATGTCCCTTTGTCAAGGGGGGTAAACTTAAAAATTCACTTAAAATTTTCATTTCCATTCATTTCCCATTCACCCTCTTTTTTAAGTCATATTAATGCTTAAAAACCCAACACACCTACAAGTTATGACATATTTAATACTACAAGTTCTAATGGTAATTTCGGTATGTGGTGCAAGTTTTTCTTTTTTTCTTAAACACCGGTGTCTAGTGAAACATTACCGTACCAAATGAAACCGAGTATAATAGCTATCAAGGAATATTGTGAATTAATTTTGAGGAAATGACAACATTGTTGGGAATAAACCCCGTAAAAATAATATCCACGGTATTAGTGATAAACGCGGAACACTAAGTTATGGTTAAATCAGCAAAAATAGAAATGCAACAATAATGACCCTAAGATTTTACGTGGAAACCTTTCTGAATAAGGGAAAAAACCACGGCCAAGAAGAGCAACTGATATCACTATAGCGAGGATTTTACACTGTGTAGTAATGAGTACGAATATTCTTAAGACCACTACACCCTCAAAAGAAAAAAATACTCTTTTGCTTTTTCACATCACTACAATATCTCTCACACTCTATTTTTCTTCACAAACTATTTTCTTATAGTTTATGGAATACCTTGCTCTCTATATTTCACTCTTTGTTGGTGTGTAGAAATGAGAGTTAAGGCTCTCCTTTTATAGCCAAAACCTCACTCTCTAAAGCCTATAATATTTGACAATTTACACACCCTTTTCACAATTTCAACAAGGTTGGCTACCAAACCAAACCAAGTCAATAAAATTGGCTACCAAATTATACAAATTCAACAAGGTTGACTACCAAATCAAACCAAGTCAACAAAATTGGCTACCAAATCATTTGAATGAGATGGACACCATATCAATCTCCCCCT